GCGCTGGACCCCCCTACCTGACGCGCGGAGCACGCCAGGGGCGGCACCGGCGGCGCCGCCGGGGGATCCCAGCGCCGATCCAAGAAATCGGCGCAGAGCGCCGAAAGTTAATGTTTGCGCAGTTTTTTTTTTTGCAGCACGCAAGCATCACCAAGCCTAACATCACCCCCAGCAGCACGCATTGCGGCACCAATCGCAGTGCGACTGTAAAACTGTGAGACGAAGCCGGCGCGAGGATGAGGGAGGAAGGGGGAGAGGACGAGGAGGCGGAGTGAGCACCGTGGTTCTGTTTGTGCAGCTCTCTCTTCTTCGAGTGCACGGGCTGGCGGCGACGGTCTCCCGGCGCTCCAGGGGGCGGGGGGGCATCGCGGGGACCTCCCCCACAACACCCGGCACCAGCAGCCAGGACTGGCGCCGCCGCGTGCCAGGCAGGCGCGAGGACTGGCCCGGGAGGAGTGAAGGGAGGGGGGAGGAAGCGGGAACGGGGAAGAGGACGGGGAGGGAGGAGCAGGAGGAGGAGGAGCCAGACGATGACGACAACGAGGACGAGGGGGCGGAGAGGAGGAGGAGGAGGAGGAGGAGGAGGAGGAGGAGGAGGAGGAGGAGGAGGAGGAGGAGGAGGAGGAGGGGGGCAATGAGGAGGACAAGGAGGACAAGAAGGCGGAGCAGGAGGGGGGCAACGAGGAGGAGGGCGAGCGGGGCCAGGGAGCACGAAGGCGAGGAAGAGGGTGGGCAGCAGGATGAGCAATGGGGGGACAAGGAGCAGAAGAAGGCAGAGGAGGAGGAGGAGGAGGAGGAGGAGGAGGAGGAGGAGGAGGAGGAGGCGTGTGACCTCACAGCTGGCGTGCTCTGGGCAGAGCTGGCACTCGGACTGCCCGGGCTCGTCCGCGAAGGCGCCAGCCATGCACGGGTCGGCCTCTCCGGGCAGGGGGGGGGAGGACGGAGTCGGGCAGGAGGGGGGTTATGACGAGGATGACGAGGGCAGGAAGGCCAGCCAGGAGGAGGGAGGGGTGAGGAAGGAATATGTGCCAGGAGGAGGGCGACGAGGACGTAGAGGAACGTTTTGGGATGTCTTGGCAAGCGCGTCGTGCGGGACGGGGAGGAGGGGGAGACAGGAGAGGCGCGTCTCCGATCCCAGCGTTCTCAGTCCGAGGAAAGAGAACGCCCCCCGACCCCTACAACCCCCCCCCCCCCCCCCCAAAAAGGCGGGTGACGAGGACGAGAAGGACGAGGAGATCGAGGAGGACAAGGAGGATCGACCGTATCCTGGCGAAGGAGGACAAGGAGGGGACAAGGAGGATCGACCGTATCCTGGCGAAGGAGGACAAGGAGGACGAGGGAGAGGAGGAAGTAGGACGAAGAGAGCGCGAATGACAAGAAGGGCGAGAGGGATGACGGGGACGAGAGGGACAAGAATGAGCGCGAGAGGAACGACGAGGATGAGGAGAGCGACGACTGGAAAGGTAAGGGGGAGAACGCTGGTATCCACGGTGTGGTAAGGAGGAGGGGAGGGAGGGGGGAGAAAGGCGAAAGGAGGAGGAGGAGGAGGAGGAAGAGGAGGAGGAGGAGGAGGAAGAGGAGGAGGAGGAGGAGGAGGAGGAAGAGGAGGAGGAGGAGGAAGAGGAGGAGGAGAGGAGGAAAGTTTGAGCCCCACGCCCAACCGTCGCCACACCCCGGCGGGCGGCAGGCCCGCGCAGCGGGCCAGCGGAGAAAGGCACGGCCGGTGGCACACACCGGGAACGGGAGCAGAACGATGCCTCGGGCTGCGGGCGCCGGTGGAGGGCACCAAGCGGAGCGTCGTCCTTCGGCGCTGGACAAACCTCCCTGTAGTAGACCTCCCCTTAGTGAAAACGGCCTGGGACCGAAACCGATGGACCTGGACCCGCAAAAATGGCGGCCGCGACGCCCTCCCGCGAACCGAAAACGGCCAGTTCACTAATCGACGTGTCAGGGTAGAAGGTCTGTCCAGCCCCGAGTCCTCCTCCCTTTGTGGGCCCCGGAAACGGCAGGGCCGTTTTTTCACCGTTTCCAGAGAAAGGTCCCTTGAAAATGGAACCGGTAACACAACGGCGACCGGAAGCGGCAAAAAAACGGCTCCAGGACTGGAACCGGAGCCGGAACCGGTCAAAAAACGGCGACGGAACCGGTAAAAAAACGGCGCGGCTGCGGGCGCCGATGGAGGGCACCAAGCGGACCGTCGTCCTCCTCACCAGGGGGAGAGTGACGCGCGATCGAGCAGCTGGGCCCGCGCAGCTGCAGCGGAGGGAGGCACAGCCAGTGGAACATGGGGAAGGGAGCAGAGAGATCACTCGGGCTGCGGGCGCCGATGGAGGGCACAAAAGCGGGCCGTCGTCCTCCTCCCCAGGGCAGGGCGACGCACGATCGAGCAGCTGGGCCTCCGCCAGCACGGGGGCTCCCCCGCCAGCACCGCCCGATGGCGATTCGGGTACCAGGCGTGTCGGTGACGAGGCGTGCTGGAGCAGAGCAGGAGCGAGCAAGCATCGGCCGCCACTCCTAGCCTCTGTCTGCTGTAGTGGGGATGTCTGCCTTTACAAAGGGCTTCCAACCAGAATTGACCGCTCGAGTGGGAGGAGTGACACACTTGGAGGCGAGACCACGAACAGAGGCGCCTGAAGAATGACAGTTACACCTGATACACATTCATAGCACGGAATGGTCCGAAGGATCGGGCGAAATCGTCTTGTGTCCGAGCCTGTCCAACCCAGGCGCATGAAGCTCCGAGGTATGAGGGCAACGTCCTGCGGGGTGTCTGGAGATGCCGCGGCTACCCCTGAGACACACAGAACACCGCCAGATCCGCGCCCATTTGGTGCCAGCGGTGACAAGCCTGAACCTGAGGCACGGCCTGAGGCATATGAACCTCACGAAGGGCAGCAGAGGAGGCCCAGGGGGGCTAATGAAACAAGACCGCGGCAGCCAACTTGTGAGCTGGTCTGGCTAAAGGGACCTGCTTGTCAGCATCTTTGAGAAGCTCAACGCGCTGCGGGTGCAGGTGGACAGCTAGCTCGGCCCCTATGTCGGCATGGTGGCTCCCAATCCTGAACCAACGCTCATCGGTACCAATATCTGGTTCACCCATGTAGCGATGAGCCGCGAGTTTGGTACACTTCGCTAAAGCGTGCTGCTTGGCATAGCACTGCAAAAAAGGCACCAGGGCACATGCGCTAAAGGGAGAACTGCTCGGCCTCGGAACGGGCAGCTGCGTTCGCCACACTGATGCAAGCAGACAAGATTGAAGGGGCCGACAGCACACACAAATAAATACACACAAATTAAACTAGTCCCATACTTTCCCATATTTTCTGGGTTTCTGTCTTCCCCCCCACTTCCCATATTTTCCTACATTTTCTGGCAAATCGACGATTAATTGTGTCTGTGTGTTTTTCCCCTCCTGCAAGATGCCGGAGGTCTCGGGGACCCCGAGGGGGAGAACGACAGAGGCGCGGAACTCGGTCCCCCCCTGAGTCGTCTGGGGGCACGGGCCCCGCACAGGGGCCCGAACTCCGCCGACAGCTCCCCCGCGCAGAACTGGCCGCTCGAGACAACTCGCGAACAGCAGGGCGAGTGCACGAAGTGTCGATTCTATATAGTAAAAAAGCTCCGACACCGAACGGCTGAGCACCGGGAGGGGCCGTTTCTACGCTATGCCACACGAGAGCAGGACCACTATCAGCCTTCCCCCCGAAGGGGCCTCGGGAGGGCGCCGGCAGGATGCCCAAGGGCCCCGGCAACAAGCGCAGAAAGAGCGCCCGTGCCGCGGGACGCCTCGGCAGCCAGGGGCAGCATCGGCGGTGCTCTGGGGGACCGCCTCAGCGCGGCCAGCAACTACAGTCAAAACCTATAATCAGGACGCGAGGTAAGGACAATCTGGACATCCTTGGACGTCAAAATTGGGTGGGGATGGGCCTATAGGCAGGGAAGCAGAGGAGCCCTTGCTGAGGTCCTGCGTCCTTGCTGTGAATTTTGACTGCACAGGGGGATGGGGGCCGAGGTCCGATCCCACGGGTCCCGAAGTTCAGCGGGGGCCTGGCCGAGAGCAAGAATCCATTCCTGCTCCGCACGATCCGCCCGCGACTGGCACGGGGCGTCAAGAACGTCCAGGGCCCGCGACGAGTCACCAGCCTCCTGGGGCCCAAGAGCGCGATCGGCAATTTGTTTCACTCCACCCCAGGAAACCAGTATAGGCGACGGCCCTTGGGCAGCCCAGGCGAGACCAAGGAATGATAAAAGGTAGTCGGAGGGCCAGCAGGATAGCGGGTGCAGGCAGCGGGCGCGATCGGAAATCCTCGCAGATTGGCAACAAACTTAGAGCTTTCCAAGTCGCGAGGCTCAAGATTGGAATCCGCACCGAGCAGCCATGGCTTGGCCCGTCGACCGGGGAAGGCGCCCAGGTCAGCTGACAGATGCAAATCCCCGTCAGAGGAGGCCCCCCGCGCGATGGAGAGAAGCCGACGCCACGACGACGGGGGGGGGCGCCAGGAAACTCGACCGAGCAGGCCGAGACTCCCCCCTCTCAGAGGCGACGATAGGGGCGAATAGCCCAGGGGAGAGCAACACATGTATTCCGGGGCGCCGGTGATCTATGTCTTCGACAAGGCTCCCGGGCGAGTGCGTGTAATGCCCGCCCGCCCCTGGGCGATTCGCCCTGATTGTCGCCGCCGACCCTCGGCGACCGCACCTCCAGGCACGTCAGGGCAGCCCGGCCGGGAGCGCACGACAGCGGCAGCACCCCCGCCCCACGAGGTGTAAGTCGGGCCTGTCCCCCTACAGGGGTATGTTGGGCGAGAAAATAAGAATAGTCAAAACATGCCCCAAGATGGCTCAGGAATGCTCAACAAATCGTCCCCAGGCTCATGTTTTTAGTATTTCTGAATATTCCTCCCGTAGAGGGACAGGCCCGACCTCAACACGAGGTGCCCCCCCACAGCAGCGGCCGCGGCGGGCGGCCACGCAGACGTTCAGCCACGGGGGGCCACGTTGGCAGAGCAGGACGCGCGCATCAGAACCTTCAACCGACGCCCTGACGGCCCCCCCAACACGTCCCGCTGATGGCCTGGACCTCGAGCGCCAAAGGGTCCACATCCTGCGCACCAGCACGGCCTTGAACAGAGGAGGCAACATATCAGCTACCGAATGCTTCTCGGGCGAAGCCTCGGCCGCGCGTTCTGAAGCGAAATTCCAAGGGGATCGGGCAACGCGTTTGGGCAAAGATCCAAACTTCACCCGGGGCTTCCCGACAGTGGTCGTGACGCCCCAAAACGGCCGAGGTCGCAAGCGGGGCCCCAAGGGGCAGAGCCTCTGCAGTGGCGCGACAAGGTGAACCTCTGGCCAGCGACATCAGAGGATACAGCACTGGCGGTCTGGAGAAATCAATAAAAGCCTGCTGCCGGTGCGTGCATATAGCAGAGCCCGGGCTGGCAGTCGACCTTGCTGTGGCCGCACCAGCACGAGCAAGCAACGTCTTCTAGCTGCAGGAAGAAACACGCTGCTGCAACCGACCAGGACGGTGCGCCAAAAGCATGGGGAAGCCACGCTTGCGCCACAAGGTAACTCTGGTAATCTCTGCTGAGCTACCTGTGCAACAAAACAACGCCTGAGCCCCCCTGAAAGATAATCACACGCCGGCCCAACAGACCTCTGACCCGAAACCAGGAGCCCAGGGCACCCGGGTCCCGAGATGGGAGGCCCACCAAGGGCCGCTCATGCTGAACCTCCAGGAGGGACAGAGTCACAACGTGGCTGGGTGACCTTGCACACTCCTTCGCCTGTAATACGGTCAACTCTGGTGCGAGCAGCCTCAGTAGACGCCGACGAGGCCGAAGAGGACGGGTCAGGTCAGCCTGCGAAGATGCGGCTCCAGCCCCATGCGCCGCGCTCGTCGAGCCACCACCAAGTGCCGACGCCGCGCCAACGTCCGCAAGCACCTCGACGACATTCCTTTTCTTCTGGAGACGTTCCGCGTGTGTTGCATGTTCGTTCTTGGCATCGCCCATATTGTTCTTAGCCTCAGCGAACAGATCTTAATCAAGTCCAAGAAGCCCGATTTGATTTGACCGCACGCGACGACAACTGAGCGTGATCCTCCGAAGACAGACTGGTGTCCGCGTCGATCTTGAACATGTCTCCAGAGTCAATGTTACAGGCTGCTTCCAGCTTGCTCTGGTTGAGCAACACATCAGCAGGGAGCTTGGGGCTGGGAGCAGGGCCTCCTGGTAGTCCATCCGCCAACTGCCGTACCAACTGCCCATGCTCAGCATCAGCGTCAATGAGGTCCACCCGAAGTTGGACGACCAGTTTCTGCTGCGTGGGCAACGGTGCTCCGATCGCGCCGTAGCGAGTCCAAGCCTACTCCACACAGCTCCCCAGATGAAAGGCACGACTACGAGCTCGCCGCAGACGGACATGCAAAGACTCGGGGGCGCCCTTCGGGCTGGATAGCGTTTTCGCCACCAGACGATGCGCCGCCGCACTCTGCCTGTCACACGCCTTGTCACAGAAGACGGCCCGCTGCACTGAGAGGTGGGGCTGAGCCAGGAGTTGTTGCATCCTTGCCCAGCGTTATGTTGCTCCCGTCCGACTTAAGGACCTCATTCCAGAAATAATTTCGAGCACCCAGAGAAGTGTGAAAAGAGCGTCGACACAGTGTCCAGACAGTGTCGGCCGAGTGTCCCCCAGGACCCGACATGTGAAAGCCCTCGAGTTTCGGTACTTCTTGGGGCGCTCGAAATTCTTCCTGGTGGTCGAGGCTAAAGTAGGTTCGAGCATCATAAGCCCAGCGCCGCCGCCTGCACCTTGGCACTGCTGGCGGCCCCCTGCTCGTGCACCTGGCTGAAGGACGGGAGGACCTCCAGACCAACCCCAGACAGGGTCGACCATGCTGAAGGGGCCCTGGACACACAAATGAATACACACAAATAAACAGATTCCCCATATTTCCCATATTTTGGGGGGCTTCTGTCTTCCCCCCCACTTCCCATGTTTTCCCATATTCCGTGTGGATCGTCGATTAATTGTGTCTGTGTGTGTTTTTTCCCTCCTGACGTGCGGCGCAGCAGTGCCGGCAGAAGCAGAACCTGGTCTCGTTCCTGGTGCAGCCGCAGAAAGGAGCAAGTGTACCTCTGCCCCTTGCCGCGCGGAGCTGCGATGTCGCGCCCAGCGCGCCAGCACGACCCGCACGAGGCTGAAGATCAGGCAGCAGGGGAGGCCGAGCGCGCACACTGTGGTCGCCCAGCTGCGGGTACTCGTTCGCGACAGGCTGCAAGTTGCCCCAGCCGCGGCGCCACGGCGCCCTTGACTTCCCTTTGCCACCACGTTCCCCGCCACTTCCGCACGACATCGCTCTCGAGACGTGGCTGGCAGCTCCCGTGAGAATGCGAAGAGAGGATCTGGCCATCGAACCGTGAACTGAAAATGCTAAAAACGGCCCGGGACAGCACGATGCCGTTCTGAAGCCATGCTGTCACAAGCCCAAAAGCTTGGGCCAGAACGGCTAGGAGAAGGAGGAGGAGAAGGAGAAGGAGGAGGAGAAGGATCAGGATGCGCGGCAAGGACGCGAGGGCCTTGGAGGGCCATGCTGACTTTTTTCGACGAGGTCGGCCAGTGAGAGTCGGTAGGGATGGGCCGAAGGGGCAAGGACGCAAGGGCACCCTTGGGAAGGCTGCCCGTCCTCACTGTGCAGGTCGACTGTAGCCATACCGCCTGTTTCGGGGGCGGCCAAGAGGGGGGCGTCCAAGAGGGGGGGGTGCAGATCATGGCCGGCGGCATGTGCGCGGCCCAGGGGGGGGGGGGGGGGGGGGGGACGTCATGAAACAAGAGGAGGCGCCATGAGATCTGGCGAAAATACCGTGGCCCACGCCGTGATCTCCCCCCCCCCCCAGTCAGCACCCCACTCTCTGCCGCCCCCGACCTGTCGCAGCCGATCACGGGAGCAGGTCACGGCGCCGGTGGCCCAGGCAGCCCCAGGCGAGCGGACGGGAGGGAGGAGGAGGAGGGCTTTTTGACTGCACTTAGCTCGTTGCAAGTAGCTTGAGCGGGGCGGCCGCAGGTCGGCTAGGCGGCAGACAGAGCCCGCCTAGCGGGCACTATAAAGGATCTCCGCTCCTGGTCCGTCCGCAAGCAAAAGCGATTCTTCGCCATTGGACCTGCATGTTGGGCGGGGGAGGTATTGGCACCGAAGGGGAGGGAGGGGGAATATATGAGGAAGAGAAGGGATCGGTGCCGTGCGAGAGTCACTAAGCGCGCCAGCTAGGCGTTGCCCTATGCGGGCAGCGCTGAAAGACCGAAGAGCAGCACAGCTGGCCTTAGGAACGGCCACCTGGGAGCATGGCTTAGCCATGGATATGAGCGGGATGAGTAGGAAGAGAGCCAAAATGGCAGCGCCGCGCTGTAGGGCGGCAGTGTCGGAGCGGACCAGGAGGGAGAGGCTGGCATTGCCGCCTAGAGACCTAGGAAGCCCCATCGGAAACGCACGTGACCGGTAAGGGGGGCAGGTAAGAGAATGCCTGTGCTGTACTTGGCTTCTTAGTGTTAGCGGGATTCGCCGACACGTGGTAAGAGGAGGAGGGAGGAACTCTAGGGGGGGAGAAGGAGTATCTTGCACAGCCAAGAAGCACTAAGGCGAGGTAGCTGTCCGCAGCAGGTGCGCACCTCTGACGGGCAGCATTAGCCGAGAGATACTCGGCAGGAGGGAGGGGGGGTTCCCCGGAGGATGCTCTGCCAAGGAGCTGCCGTGAGCGGAAAAGGCCATTTGCGCCGAAGACGGCCGCATGGAGACCAGCTATATGCCAAGACGGTGCAACGTATGACATAACATTGCATTGAAAAATGCGTTGCTAGCATTGTCTGGCCGGCCGTGCCGAGGAAGAGGGAGGAATCGAGTAAACTGTCATGGCATTGTCTGTAGGACCACTCTGCGGAAGATGACTGGTAGCGCCTGCGGCTTCGCCGAGACCTGCAAACTTGAGGCGGGGTGCCGCTGAGACAAGTGCGTGACAGGTGCATGCGCACTGCGCCGAGTCGGAAGCCACAGGGCTGCTGAAAGCTGTCTACGGTCGCTGTCCAAAAACCCTGACGCCGAATGTGGTGTGGTCCCTTGGCCTGGTGTGCGAATGACCCTGGACATGGAGCGTACTGCACGGCACGTAATACGTAATGCGCGAGGAAAGGACCAGGAGGAGGGAGTGCCAAGGGGCAAAAAAGAGGATCGAGGAGATGCACTGAGTGGGCTTTCAGTGTCAACCGTCAACGTATATCGGCTTGTGCGCGTAAAGCGGCTGAGCCACGCAGTGCAAGTCGTAAGAGTGCTGCGACCTAGCATCGAGCATTGGCTTGGCCTTACCAGAGGCCTTCGCGCTCTGGGCGGCCTCGGCCGAGCGTTCTAGCACTGTTGCGAGCTGTGCTGTTCCCGGCGGCCCTCGCTGTCGGGCGGACGCAAATGCAAAGTGTGGCATGCCGCTCAATGGCAAAAGCGCTTATAGGACGATGACCGTACCCTAGATCCAAAACTGGACATGTGACGCCGATAAGGCAGGCGGCGAGAGGCGCTCGAGCGTGAGCAGAGAGCAAAGAGCAGAGAGCTGTGCATGGGATGCACATGCCTGTGCCGTGTTTGTGTGACGCTTGTCCATGCGAGTACCTGGCCATTGAAGGGTGAAACACGGGACGAACCAAGGCGGAGGAGGAGGATGGACAGGTGAACGAATATGGTAGACAAAAGCGCAAATACAGGTGCACAGGAGGAAAGAAGGGAGAGAGAGGCACGGCGTGAGCACGGCGTCATCGCATCGCGCCGACCCTGACGGGCAAGCGACCCAGCGGTAGCCGGCTTTTGGGCCAGAATACTAAAGCCGCCTCGAGCGGAGAGCCCTCAGGGCTGGGTGCACGAGGCCGTGAGACTCGAGGGGCGCCGATGCTAGCTCTTGTTCGCTGCGGCCGGCTGCCTCGGGCCGGTGGGCTAAGTGCTTACGCGGGCGCAGTGTGAGACGACTCACGTCTGTGCTGCCTCTGAGTCTTCAGCATCAGAGGACGGAGGCAGATCCCAATAGGGGCGCCCCAGAGGCAACGAAGGAGCGGTTGCGGTAGCCATCCGTGCGGCAGCCGCCGCGTCCAGTGCCGCTCGCGCAGGAGTGCTAGTGAAAAAAGGCCGGGGACTGCCAGGTCGTGGCGGTCTCAGAGCCGTGGGGCACGGCTGTGGCGCCCCGGACATTGAGACCGCCTGCGCCCTCGGAGAGGCTGCTGAAAACCTGTGCGTGGCTGAGGGCTGCGTGGAGGCCCTAGGCTGCTGCACGGTCGCCGGCGTATGCACTGGCACTGCTGGCGTATGTACCGGCACAGGTACTGGCACTGGTAATGGCTGAGGCACTGCTGGCGTATGTACTGGCACTGCTGGAGCTGGGACTGCTGGCGTATGTACTGGCACTGCTGGCATTGGGATTGCTGACATTTGTACTGGCACTGCTGGCATATGCACTGCTGGCGTATGTACTGGCACTGCTGGCGAATGCGGAATTGGCACTGCTGGTATTGGTACTGGCTCAGGTACTGGCACAGGTACTGGCACTGGTACTGGCTCAGGTACTGGCGCTGGTACTGGTGAGGCGGCGCGCGCTACGGGGGCAGGCTGCGGTGCCCGCTCGGCTGCGGCCGTGGACAGAAGAGCCGCATGAAGCGCGCCTCCCAGCCGGGAGCTGCACGAGCCGCGATGCGCCAGCGCGTCGAAGGCCCGCAGCAGGCCCTGCACCGCTCGCGCGTCGGCGCGGCGGTACTGCTCACGCCGGGCCGCGGCACTGCGGGGGGGCCTGCGACGGGGCCGGGCCGCCCGCTCGGGGGAATCCATGGCGCGCCCGCTGAGAGGGGCAGGGGGGGGAAAGGAGGAAGCGGCGCGGGGGGGCGCCCGTGGCGCTGGCTGGCAGAGCAGATGCTCGGGCCAGCTTGCGCTTGAGCCAGAATGGCTACGGAGGAGGAGGAGGGAGGGAGGAGGGAGGAGGAGGAGGAGGAGGGGGAGGAGGAGGAGGAGGAGGAGGAGGAGGAGGAGGAGGAGGAGGAGGAGGAGGAGGAGGAGGAGGAGGAGGGAGGCAGGAGGAGGAGGAGGAGGGAGGAGGAGGAGGAGGAGGAGGAGGAGGAGAGGAGGAGGAGGAGGAGGAGGAGGAGGAGGAGGAGGAGGCAGGAGGACCAAGACCACGACCACGACCACGACAGGGCCCGCGGGGGCCGCCGCGGCTGCTGGCGGCTTCTCTGGGACGCCCAGGGCTTCGCCACAGGGCGCCCAGGGCGTCGCCACAGAACGCCGGAGCGGGCGTGCGGTCGGCCCGCATCAGGAGGACAAGGCCCTTGGGCGCCCGTTGCTGGGCTGCTCGAGCGGGGCGCGGCCAGCGAACGCGGCCACGAAGGGGCCGAGGAGGCGAGGATGCAAGGGTGCCCTTGGGAAGGCTGCCCGTCCTCACCATGCGGGTTGACTGCAGGGGGGTCCAGACCCCCGGGCGTCCCAGCAAAACTCCAGGACAGGCGTTGCGGTCAAGAGGTCCTGCTCAGCGTGTCGCGGCGGCGGCCCCTGAGACACGCCACGCCGTGCGAGCGGACAGCGTGTCGCTCCGCTCCCCCCCGGGCGGGAGGCTGAGAGAAGCTCGGGACGTTGAAGCTCGGGGGCCAGGACGTGATTCGCGTGTCGCGCCGAAGCGTGGTGGGCCAGAGTCGGCGGCGCGACACGCCAAGCACTCGTTAATGACGCAGTTAGCGCATATTCAGCGAATTCAGCGAATGCAGCATGAAGAACAGCCCGCGACAGAAAAAAACTGTCATGGGGGTGGGGGTCGACTGCACTGGACACCCACGTTATAAAATATGGTGGCGTCGAAGCTCTGGGGAGCAGCAGCAGCAGCAGCAGCACCGATCCTCAAACGCCCACCTGGAGGGGCCCCACACAAAGCAGTAAACGGTAAAACATATAAGCATCATGAAGCCGAGCCTGCTCTGTCACAGGTTCGTTGAGAAGCCCTGGGCCGACCAGGATTGGAGGGGGAGGCTTACTGACAATCGGGTGCATCTTGCCTCCTTCTCCTCCTCCTCCTCCTCCTCGTCCTCCTCCTCCTCCTCATCCTCATCCTTCTCCGCCTCATCCTCTTCCTCCTCATCCTTCTCGTCCTGCTCCTCCTCCTCCTCCCCCTCCTCCTCGTCCTCCTCTGCCTACTGCATTTTTATCATTCCTCTGTTTATGTTTCCTCCCCCAGTACAGGGTAGAGCTGCAGTGGACTGCTGGCTTGCAGCAAATGCTGGAGCAGGAGCAGAGACGCCTAACTGGTGCTGGCAAGTGCTGAGCCCCGCTTCGGGGGCCCCTTCCTCCCTCCTTCCCACTCCTCCCCCGTGCAGCGAGGACAACGGCAAGGACGAGGAAGACCGACAAAGAGGAGGATGGAGGAGGAGGAGGAGGAGGAGGAGGAGGAGGAGGAAGAGGAAGCGGAAGAGGAGGAGGTCTGAGGTGGACCGCTACCTCCCCCTCGGGAGGTTGGGGTCCACGCTCGGACCAACCCCCTGATGTGGGGGAGCCGCAGGGTACCGATACCGCTACTCCCCAGACCTCGCCTGGGCTGCGTTCTGACCATGCTTTCGACGCGAATCCAGCGGTGGCGACGAGGGCACCCCTGGAGGCCCAACAACAAGGGGGACACCAGGCGAGGGTGGCGGTATCGATACCGTCGCCTCCTCTGATAAGCGTGCGTGCCCGCCCGCCCCAAGCGCCAACACGGTGAGTGAACCTCCAGCCGTGCTCCGACTCGCCAGACTGCCCCCTCGTCCCCCGCAGCCCAAGCACTGCTTGCGAGCGGCCGGGGCCGGCTCCCTACGCACACCTTCGCGGCCACACCCAACCCATACCTCATCCACCAGGTGCTGCTGGAGGTGCTCCTGGCCCAAGGTGCCCCCAGGACTTCCAAGGAGGCTCCCACGGCCTCCAGAGAGCTCATCACGAGGCCCAGAGGGCCCCCGGGGCTCCAGAGTGGAGCGAAAAGCTGGGGTCACCTTGGGCCAGGGGCACCTTCAGCAACCCCCGAATCTACTTGCAGCTCCTAGAGTCAGTCGCCGTTCGGTCGCCCACCCTGCTCCTTGTCTTTTGTTGTTTCTTACCATCCGACCTGCACGGGCCAAGAGGAGGGTCGTCGAGAGCATCGCATTAGTACCATGGATCCGTCCGCAGACTTAGACATAGGCGGAGCGCTGAGTGCGGCCGACCAGCCGTGACGCGACGGCGCAGACTGGCTTAAAAAAACCTGCTCAATAACACAACACGCGTGGCTGCTCTGGCGGGCGCCTGATGACTGAGCAGATCCTCCTCCTCCTCCTTCCCCCTCCTCCACCTCATCATCATCATCATCAGCAGCAGCAGCAACAGCAGCATCATCAGTAACAGCATCATCATCATCATCATCATCATCATCATCATCATCATCATCATCATCATCAGCAGCAGCAGCAGCAGCAGCTGCTGCAGCTGCATCATGACCATCACCATCACCATGACCATCACCGTTATCGATGTCATCATCGTCATCGTTTCATCGCCACCACCGTCGTCATCATCAGCAGCACCGTCATCATCACCATCACCAGTATCATCACCAACGCCATCGCCATCGACTCAGCATCATCATCAGCATCATCAACATCAGCAGCAGCATGAGCATCAGCATCACCATCATCACCATCACCATCATCACCGTCATCCTCATCTGCAGCAACAGCAGCATTATCTTCATCGTCATCATCATCACCTTCATCAACAGCGTCAGCATCATCATCATCAACATCATCATCAACGGCATCATCAGCAGCGGCATCCTCATCCTGATCGTCTTCAGCAGCATCATCATGAACAGCCGCATCATTATCTTAAGCAGCACCATATTCATCATCAACATCACCATCTCCATCAGCATCATCATCATCACCATCATCATCAGCAGCAGCACCATCATCATCACATGCTCATACTGATCATCATCACCACCCTCATCCTCATCAACAAGAGAGTCATCATCATCACCAACATCAGCATCAGCATCATAGTCATCATCACCGTCATCAGCATCAACATCAACATCAGCATCAGCATCAGCAGCATCATCAGCATCAGCATCAGCATCAGCATCAGAAGCAGCAGCATCATCAGCAGCAGCATCAGCATCAGCAGTATCATCATCATCATCATCATCATCATCATCATCATCATCATCATCATCATCATCATCATCATCATCATCACCCGCACCATCCACATAATCCGCATCACCTGCATCACCCGCATCACCTTCAGCGTCAACTTCATCTTCATCATCACCACCACCATCATCATCACGATCACCACCGTCAACATCAACCATCAAAGGTGCGCCGCCAGAATATGACCGTATCCACTGCTGCTGGGCCGTGTTCCGAGGACTCGGAGAGCGGCGGATATGGATATCTGCCCGTCAACGCGGGCGAGCAGATATCCATATCCACATAATTATCCACCGCTCCTCGAGATCCCAGGGCACGACTCCGCAGCGGTGGATGTGGACATTCTCTGGCGGTGGACAAGGGGCGGCTCGAGGTGTCTCGCTCGCTGTGGCACTCAGCTCGCCAGGACCCTCAGCACGGGCTTCCCCCCGGAAGCCTGTGCGCCGCGCTGCCGAGGGGCTCCCCTCGCGCCAGCGCGACCCACGGCTGCCTCACGGAGGCGAGCGCGTGCGCGCACACGGCTGCGATCCGGCACGCGCAGCCCGCCACCTGGGAGCTCGCGGACGCGTTGGCAGGACCTACGAGGCGGGAATTTATCCATATCCACCGCCTGGGAACCGACGTCCTGGTGCCCTGGCGGGCGGTGGATAATTATGTATCCATATCCACCGCCTGCGAAGGTCCTCGAAGGTAGACTCCCCAGGCGGTGGTTATGGATAAATTCCCACCTCGGAGGACTGAGTTAAGTGGGACCTGGTTTGGTCTGAGCACTGTGGGACGCGGGCAACGAGCGGGTCTCGAAGAATCTTGGCACTGCGGTCGTGGCTCAGTCTGAGTTCGTCCCACAGCGGATCGCGCTGCTTCGGCGAGTGGCCGCCTTGCCCTTTCACGTGGTCAGGGGGCACCGTATCGGGCGTGGGCAGTCATGGTCGGCGGCGAGCGAGGGGATGAAGTGAGAAGGAGAAGGCATTCTCAGCAGGCGGCCGGGCTCCTCGGAAAGCCTCCGGCCCTCTGGGCGGTTTTCTGTGTCTTCGGGGAAAGCTTAGAAAACTTCTCAGAAGGCTGGGGGACTTCCGAGCCTTCTGGTAAGGCCCGCCCCTTCTCACTTCCCCCGGGCTCGCCGCAAACATATGGGCCTCGGGTACTCCGGCTTGGTGAGCGTGCAGCTTTCCGAGCTCGCTGCGATGATCATCACGCTGCTTCGGCACATCGTCCGCCCATTCAACTTGCTGCTTTCCCTCACCGTAGGCACGTGTGTACCTGATGCGCTGGTCTGGAGTGGATATTTGGGCGCTCGCTGGCTACATGGTCAAGCTCTTCGGCCTCATCAGGGGCATCGTCCTGAGATTGGTATTGGTCAACATCACCAGGGATGTCGTGTCAGGCGTGCGCATATGCCGGGCATCGGAAGACTTTGGCGACCTGATCGTGGTTCTTCCCTCGGCGTCGCGAGGGTTCTCCTGGCCTCCAACTGCGTGTACCACCCGGGCCCATTGGGGGGGTGGAGCGTCTGGAGTGCGGAGTGCTGGGTATGCTGATTCTACTAGGCTGTGGGCCTCGTGACGGACGTGGGCATAGGATCGCGGTGCTTTTCTGGCTTGCAACTGTTTACTGCGCTGATTCGGCACGCTGGCGCACGCTCTGGAGCAAGAAAGAGGCTGGACAATGATTTGCAGCATCCTCTCGTGGATGCTCTGGTTTGGTCTTGCACGCTGCTCGCCGACTTCGCAACGCCGCATCGCCATGATGCCGTGCCGCCACTGGCGGCTACATGAGCTTGGCGTACGGTCGCGTTTTCAAGGAATTGGCCTCAGCGGACGTGCGACCAGCTTCAAATGTCGCATTGCAGGCGTAGTCGCGCCATCCTCATCCTCCTCCTCCTCCTCCTCCTCCTCCTCCTCCTCCTCCTCATCATCATCATCATCATCAGCAGCAGCATCATCAACAGCAGCAGCATCACCATCAACATCATCATCAGCATCTTCATCATCATCATCATCATCATCATCATCATCATCATCATCAGCATCATCATCATCATCATCATCATCATCATCATCATCATCATCAGCCTCATCATCATCCGTCAGCATCATCATCATCATCAGCATCAGCGGCAGTTGTATTATCACCATCATCAACATCATCGCCAGCATCGCCAGCATCATCATCAGCAGCAGCATCATCATGAGCAGCATCATCAGCAGCATCATACTCATCAATAGCAGCAGCAGCAGCAGTAGCAGCAGCAGCATCAACATCCTCATTATCATCACTGCATGACTATCATCCACCTTCTTCATCAACAGCCTCATCATCATCATCAGCATCATCATCATCATCATCATCATCATCATCATCATCATCATCATCATCATCATCGTCGTCGTCAGAATCAAACTAATCATCATCATCAGCAGCATCATCAACAGCATTATAATCATCATCACCATCATCATCATCATCATCATCATCATCATCAGCAGCAGCAGCATCAGCATCAGCAACATCATCGCCATCACCATCACCATCACCGTCAGCACTACAAGGACCATACTTATCAGCATCATCATCAACATCAGCAGCAGCATCATCAGCAGCATCATCAGCAGTATCACATTCGTCAACATCATCATCCTCATCATCGCAATCGTCAACATCATCATCAACATCATCAGCAGCATCGTCATCACCATCACCACCAGCATCCTTCACCACTCATCTGCATGGTCATCATCACCTTCATCCTCGCCTTTACCTTCATATTGAGCCCCCCTCTTCCTCCTCCTTGCGCACCCTATTCTCTGCTCCACCTCATCCACATCATCATGTTTCTACCCGTCATCCGTCTCCTCCTTCACCTACCCTCAACAGACGTGTCAGGCAGACGTGCGGGCGAGTCAAGCTCAGGGCATAGGGATCCACGCCCACGCTGGCAGGTGCAAAATCGATTTGTAGGTCCCGGGGCTGCGCGCAAGATTTCGCACCGCATACGCTGAATGCGCGGGAGGAAGATCAAAAGGCCTGGTGTACCAAAACACCTGCTTCACAACTCTCAGGTGTCTCGAAAAAACGGCAGTGCCAGGCAAAGGAGAGAACGCCACGGGAGTGCACTTTAGCACCACCGCCCTACTGCTTCACGCGCCACAAACTGCACAGTGCCCCAGACCCAGACCCCATGGCCAGGAAAGCGCCAGCAGATGTGGACAACGGAGTGGGGCTAGGCGGAGGGGGGAGAAACTGACAAGAATGAGGAAGTGCGCACCAGAGGGAGAGGGGAGAGGCAAACCGCGGGACAAAACGTGCATACAAAAACGCCCTCGGCTGTGGAGCCCAGCCTCCACGGAGGGCCCTGGTGAGGCCTCAGCAGCACCCCTTCATCCCCCTTTTGACCTTGACCTTCTTGGTCTTTTTCTTCTTGGCCGCAGTGGGGGATTCCGCAGCGTCCTCGGTCAGGAGGATCTTGCGCGCCTCGATGTAGAACCTCTTCTCGTTAGCCTCGCCCATGCTGAATGCCTTGCGCGGCAGAGTGCCGATGGCGTGGACGGTATCCAGGAACCGTGACTTGTCCAGCTTCGGCAGCAGCAGCCCCACGGCCTTGCCCTCCTTCACGGCATCGTCCACCGGCTCCTCGCCGTGCACGTAGCCGATCTTCACCTCGGGGTGCTCGGCGACGAACTCGTCCATCGGCTCGGTCATGGAGACGATGGGGAGCTTATCCGCGGGCGGCACCAGGGTGAACCTGCCCTCCGGCCGGACGATCACCACAGAGTGGATCGGCTGCGGCGCTTCGAACGGCGTCGCGGTGCAGCCCCATGCCTTCTCCAGGGTGGACTGGATGTCATCGGGACTGGCGCCCTCCAAAATGCGGTGGATCGGCTCAAAAACCACGCCGTCGTCGTGCAAGTTCTGCAGCTCGACTAGCGCGTAGCGCGCCGGATGGCGCTCCTTGTCGATGCCGTCCTGCGTCTTCAGCTGCTCCCAGCAGGACTTAGCAGTAGCCAGGGAGTGGTTCCCATCGCCGATCAAGATCGTGGACGGCTTGCGTCCCGCAGCTTCCGCGGCCGCATACTCCTTCGCGGCCAGCGCCTTCATGGTTGCGGCTACGTGCTCCGTACCCTTGGGCGTCACCTTGAAGCCCTTGACGGCTCCAGCGCCCTTGAACAGCTCGCACTCGTACTCTGGCTCGGTCAGCCCATCGGTGGTGAAGAGGGGCTCGAGCACGGTCTTTTCGGGGTCGTCGATGATCATGATGATGTGGGGCAGCTCCAGGGGCGCGTCCTTCCGGATGGCGATGCGAGGGGGCAGACGGGCCACAATGGTCTTCTCGGTGGGCCTGATGAGCGTGGGCTCTGGGCAGTTGTAGTTGTACTCGTCCAGGTCGACTCCGATGATGAGGCCCTTGCGGGTGGGCACCTGCTCCGTCTTGCGGTCGAGCGCCAGGAACGCGGGAGCCCGCTCCCGGAAGACCCCGTCGGCGACGTACTGCTTCATGGTCTTGCCGATCTCCTCGATGCGCTTGGTGTCCTCAGACGGATCGGCACCAGTCACGGATGCCAAATACACCTCTGGAAATATGATGTTCACCGCGGCGGGCTGGCCCGCCGCGTTCTCGGCCACATCCTTCCAGTACTGCGGCTCCGACTCGAACTGGTCGCAGGCCACGGTGGCCCACTTGTCGAGCGAGATGTCCGCCCGCGGCATGAGGATCTGGGGCACGCAGATCGGTAGACCGTCCAGGATGGGCTCGTCCAGGAGGGTTTTCTTGGAGGAGATCTCCTCCTTCTTCTCCTGCTTCTCCTCCTCCGCCTTCTTCTCCTTCTTCTCCTTCTTCTCCTTCTTCGCCTTCCTCTCGGCGTCGCTCGACTGGCCCTGCCCCATGGTCAGACGTGCGGGCCCGGCTGGGCTGGAGCCAACCAGACAGGCAACGAGCCGAGAGCGAGCCGAGACCTCACGGTCGAGGCTGGGCCAGCCCTGAACCTGGGCTGCTCGAGCCAGATTGGCCACCGCCGTCGTCGTCGTCGTCGTCGTCGTCGTCGTCGTCGTCGTCGTCGTCGTCCTTCTCGTCATCCTCCTCCTCCTCCTCCTCCTCCTCCTCCTCCTCCTCTCCTCTCCTCCTCCTCCTCCTCCTCCTCCTCCTCCCCCTCCTCCCCCTCCTCCTCCTCCTCCCCCTCCTCCCCCTCCTCCTCCTCCTCCGCCTCCTCCTCCTCCTCCTCCTCGCCTCGCCCTTGTCCTCCTCGTCGCTGGGTCGGGGGCGTCTGTACGCGTCTGCCCTCCTGTGGGCCCCAGGGCCAAGGCGCGCGCCGATCGAGGCATCCCCGCGAGGTCTCCTTCGGGAGGCCTTCCCTCCTTCGGGAGAGGTGTCCCAGGAGGTCTCCCCAGGAGGACATCCCCGAGGTCTCCCGGGGGGTCTCCCAGGAGGACATCCCCACTCCGGGGAGGTCTTCCCTCCTTCGGGAGGTCTCCCAGGAGGTCTTCCCTCCTTCGGGAGGTCTCCCCAGGAGGACATCCCCGAGGTCTCCCGGGGGGTCTCCCAGGAGGACATCCCTACTCCGGGGAGGTCTCCCGGGAGGCCGCCCCGGAGTCTGACGGGATCCTGGTCGTCGTGGCGCGCCCTCTCCTTTGGGACCTGGCCCTCGCCGCGCCTTGAGCCTTGAGTCGGCGGCGAGCGAGGGGGGGAAGCGAGGAGGCGAAGGCCTCCTCAGAAGGTTCGGAAAGCGAGCAGCGAGTGTTCTTTAATTACATATGTATATATATATATATATATAAAGACTATCGGTTCGACATTAGGCGTAACGGGAGGGAGGGGGGGGTCTGGCTCCAGAACTCTGCTTTGTGCGACTGTTTGCAAGAGTGTTGCCTCTGTGAAAAAAAACTCCCCCTGCTCGAAACAGGCGCCAAAAAACGGCCAAGATCTACTTCAGCGGGGGGAGGGGGGGGGCCCGCGCGGATCGGCAAAACAAGGACTAAACCAACTATCCTTAAGTCGGGCGTGTCCCCCCACAGGGGGATTTTCGACGAACAAAATGAGAAATGCCCAGAAGATACTCCAAAATGGACAAGAAATACAACACATAATCCCCAGACTATGTTTGACTACTTTGAGTACACCCCCTGTAGAGGGACAGGCCCGACTTAAAACTATCACAAAGCCCGCAGCCCTCTGATCAGTGTTCGAAGCCTCCCGGGCGAGAGCGATCTTGGGCGCGCGGCCTCGGGCCGCGGGGGGGCCGAGCACGAGCGCGCAAGGCGCTGCTGCCGCGTCGCGTTCGGAGATCGGGGGACCCCCGTAGGCTTAGGTCGGCCCTGTCCCCCTACAGGGGGATTTTCGACGAACATTTAAATATAAAAAATACTCCGAAAATGCTCAACAATACTCAACAAAAAAACACCCAGACTATGTTTGGACTATTTCCCAACCAGCCTGTGTTGGGTCCTCGTTTTGATGAGACGGTCCCCGCGTTCCTCTCCTCCTCTTCCCCCCTCCTCCTCCTTCTCCTCCTCCCACTCCTCCCTCCTCCTCCCTCCTCCCCTTCCTCCCTGCGTTTCATCCACCCAGCACAACGCTTCGTGGCCCCATACTAGGGAGCCCCACCTAAGGTCCCAGTGCTACCGTCCGCATGCGTCCCGCACAACCAGTACAGCGTTTCGTGGCCCTCCTCCCCTCCCCACCCAGTACAGCGTTCCGTGGCCCCATAAGGGGGCACCACCGAAGGTCCCAGTGCTACCGTCCGCATGCGTCCCGCACACCCACTACAGCGCTTCGTAGCACCATGGGGAGCCCCACCGAAGGTCCCAGCGCTACCGTCCGCATGCGTCCCGCACACCCATTACTCTTTTTCGTGGCCCTCCTCCCCCTCCTCCCTGCGTTTCACCCATCCCGTACAGCGCTTCGTGGCCCCATAGGGAGCCCCACCAAAGGTCCCAGTGCTACCGTACGCATGCGTCCCGCACGCCCAGTACAACGCTTCGTGGCCCCATAGGGAGCCCGTCCGAATGCGTCCCGCACACCCAGTACAGCGTTTCGTGGTCCCTTAGGGAGCTCCACTGAAGGCCCCAGTGCCCCCGTCCGCATGCGCCCCCGAAACCCAATTTGGCATGTTCACCCACCCAATGCAGCGCTTCGTGGCCCCAAAGGGGGCTCCACCCAAGGCCCCAGTGCCACCGTCCGTATGCGTCCGGGAAATGCACTTTGGCATTCTCACCCGCGCAGTGCAGGGCTTCGTGGCCCCATAAGGGGGCTCCACCGAAGCCCCCAGTGGGACCGTCCGCATGCGTTCGTGGCCCCATTGGGAGCTCCACCGAAGCCCTCAATGGGACCGTCCGCATGCGTCTGGGAAGCCCAATTCGGCACACCACCCACACAGTACAGCGTTCCCCCCCGCCCAGTGCAGCGCTTCGTGGCCCCATAGGGAGCTTCACCGAAGCAGATATTCACAATCACGGTACCCACAACTGCATATGGTTGGGACCGTCGCCAGGATAATGTTTGATATTCCCCCTGTAGAGGGACAGGCCCGACCAAAGAGCAGGCCCGCACCCCAGGTCGCCCCAGCGAAAGGCCACTCCGGCGTGCACTCGCCGCCCGGAGGGCACACAGAACCCCCCCGAAGGCCGACGGGCGCCCGACCCTGCGGGGACCTCCGCAGCCCTCCTGGGACCCGTAGGCTTGTGGATGCCACGACAATGGGCACCTGAACAGTCCTATCATTGACTCCGAAATGTGCTTAAAATGCCGGCAAACATGTTCCAAACATGTTTAACACACGCTGTTTTAACACATGTTTAAAGTATGCGTTTACATGCTTTATCTGGAGATTAGTTTGCAACATGCTTCCTCTCAATTGATCGTGGTTTAATGATAGCGACCTCGGGCCCAAACCTGGCGGGCGCAACTCTGGAAAATGACGGCCGCGGCGCCCTTTCGCGAACCGAAAACTGACAATCCCACCAGCCCTCTTGGCGTCGGTGGTTTAGGGAGGTCCCTCTTCCACCCCTTCTTCTCCCCCTTCGGGGAAGGGTTTATCACTGTTCCCTATTAATGAACACCCCCTCCCCCAGGCGACTGGGGGCCAACCAGGGTCCATGACAACCCCCCCCCCCACACACACCATCCCTTGTAAAAAACAATGCAAACACACACTCTGCCTCCAAATTCGGAACACGCGCAGCCAACCCGATGCGGGCCCCCCTCCCCCGCCATCCCTGTCAAAAAAACAAGCAATACAGAGTACACTTGGCGGCGGCGGCGGCTGCGGCGGCGGTGGCGGCGGCTGCGGCGGCTGCGGCGGCGGCGGCGGCGGCGGGGGCGGCGACGGCAGCGGCGGCGGGCGGCTGCGGCGGCGGCGGCGGTGGCGGTCCGGGCAGCGGCTGCGGCGGCGGCGGCGGTTCGCAGCGGGGCGGCGGCGCAGCGCGGCGGCGGCGGCGGGGCGGCGGCGGCGGCGGCGGCGGCTGCGGCGGCGGCAGCTGCGGGGCGGCGGCGGACGGCGGGGCGGCGGCGGCGGCGGCGGCGGAGGCGGCGGCGGCGGCGGCGGCGGATTGCCCCCCAGTAGCTGCCCATCCAAAGACGACTGCTGAATATGCTGAGGCTCGGGCCAGGCTCGGGTGCTACGTATGTGTTGGGAGGGCGGGTGGGAGTGAGCGAGACGGCTTGCGGGCGGGGAGGGGGTCTTGACCCCTCCCCCTACCCTCTCCCCTGGACCTGGACAAGGGGTTTCGCGAGGTGTTGGAGCGTCCAAAACGGCCTCGGCGATGAAGCCCAAATCATTGGTGTTACCAAAGTTTGGGCCCCACGTTGGCCTCCTGAGGGGGGGGGGCCTAATTAGTCACCCCCCCACCTGTGATCGATCTCACCCAAGATGGCCCAAAGATGGCCCCCAAGGCTCCCAATGGTGCCCCAAGAGGGCCCCAAGAGGTGGCCATACTCCAAAAGGCTCCAAGACCCCCCAGGGGCACCCAAGATGCTCCAAGAGGCCTCGGCGAGAATGCCAACTCATTGATGTTACTAAGGTTTTAGCCACATGTTGGCCCCTTGGGGGGGGGCACTGATTAAGATGACTCCAAGAGCGCCTGGGAGAGCCCAAGATGACCTCCAAGATGGCTCAATCTACCCCAAGATTTCGCATAATGGTTCCCGCGATGCTCCAAGATGCCCCAATACCGCTCCAAGACGGTCCAAGACGGCTCCAAGTGGCCAAAGAGCTCCCCCAGAACCCCGAAGATGCCAAAACCGTAGGAAATTCAATGTGTTTGGTTTTCTAGCCTTTTCGCTTCCGATGGCCATCCGAAGCCTCAAGATAGCTCCAAGATGGCCCAGGAGGGCTCCAAGAGAGGCTCCAGAGAGCCCCAAGACGGCCCCAAGAGCGCCTAAGAGCGCTCCAAGAGCGCCCCAAGAGCGCCCCGAGAGGCGATTGATTGGGCTCCCGAGGGGCAACGCTAACTAACGCTCGCTTCTTGTTTGATCGATGTCCCCCAAGATGGCCCCCCCAGAACGCTCCCAAGGATCCCAAGAACGCTTCAAGATGGCCCAAGAGGCGCCCAGGAAGCCCCAACAGGCGCCCAAGAGGCCTCCAAGATGCTCCCAAGAGACCCCCAAGAGGCGCCAAGAAGCTCTCCGAGGCACCCAAGACCCTCCAAGAGGCCTCCACTGGGGGACCCTTCCTCTGTGTGCTGCCCACGTCCCTGATCGAGGCAATTCCTCTGGGTATCGTTTCTGGATGGGCTGGTGGGGTTACTTTTTTGATCTGCGGCTCAATGGACGACTCCAGAGAGCGGGTCAATCTCGACAGGGGCGCAAAGCGAGACGATTGGCAACGAAGGCACATAGGCCAACGCCGCAATGCACATGCGAGGGACAAAATGAACCTCATTAGAGCCGACCCGGGAACGGAAGACGGCAGCAGACTGGAAAAGCCGGCGGAGGGTCGCACTGTGGCGCCACCCCCACAGACCAAGCCTGCGTGATGGCGGGAACAATGTGCGGGCAGCACAGAGCCC